TAAGTGTGAATTTGACCATGTGACTATACTACTCAATCAACTCTAGTGGCTTCCTATTGCCTCTAGGATAAAAGAGAAACTCTTCTGTTCAGTTTTTTCATTTATTTTTTTTCTCAATTGCATGTAAACAAAAATTAATTCTTTTTTTTATTCTGAGTTCCAAATTCTCCCCCTCCCTCCCTGATATAGATTATACATGTGCAGTCATGCAAAATATTTCCATATTAGCCATGTTGCAAAAGAAAACGTGGACCAAAACAAAACAAACCAAGAATAATAAAGAAAGTAAAAAAAAGTATGCTTCAAACTGCATTCAGACTCCATCAGTTCTTTCTCTGGAAGGGGACAGCATTTTTCATCGCAAGTCCTTAGGCACTGTCTTGGATCATTGCATTGTTGAAAATAGAAGCTAAAGACTCTAAGAGGTAAACAAAATAGAAGTATGTTCCATAAATGAAGGGCAGCCTATTGCAAAAGCAAGCAGGACAGAGATGGAGGGGAGAGAGACAGACAGAGGCAGAGAAACAGAGAGAGACAGACAGAGAGAGACAGTCAAGCAGAGACAGAGTTCTCTAATCACATCTTTCTCCACAAGGAAAACTAAGTGTATCAATTTAGAAAAAAAAAGATGGAGAGGATAAGGGGAGAACCATAGTCCATATTCCCCCAAGCATTATATTCTGTAAGCTGTGATGCATAAATTTGAGTTATTATAATAAACTGCCCTCTCATTCTTTTTCAGAGATATACTCAGTTCACATATATCTTTAAGCGAGTGACTGAAGATAGCTTTAATTTTTGCTTTTTTACATCAGAGGAGATGAGAGACTGACTTAGGATCACAGATTTACAACTGTAGTTTGGAGGTCATCTGGGGAAACTGAGGCTTGGCAAATACTTAACTAAAAGAGGCAGAATGATTATAGGATCTCTGATGTCAAATCCTAATGTTCTTTCCATTGCACCATGCAACTTCTCAAGTCCTTCAGGTATTACTTTTTTCCATGGCTCGTAAATTTTGTTAGCACCTTTAAAACTATGGGGAAGAGTTGGGACTCTGCTACTAGTGTCAGGTAGGTTTTTCAAGTTCTGTTTTTTTTTCATCTTTTTCTTCCTAAGGGTTCAGTACTTGACATGTCATTAGGGTGGGAAGGTAGGGTGTGAATAGTTTGTTTAGCTGTGAGTTTGCCACACCTTTGCGTTTCCATCTTATGATTAAAACCAAACTACTCTTGCTCACAACCCCTACCTGGTTTTCCTTCTTTATTAGGGTGACTTCATAATGTAATTATATCCCAATCTGAGGTCGATTTAGGTGGATTTAAACAGGTAGGGAGAGGAGAATGTAGGCTCCTAACCCTCTGATTACTGGGAGATCCCAGAATCACCTTCAGACCTAAGCAAAGGAAGATTCTGAATAGCAAATCTCAACTGGGTGAATCAGACTGTATAGTTGCCCAAACACTTAGCCTTAATCTCTGACTAAGCTGCTTTATTGAAGGGGATCCACCCCTTGGCTGGAATTTGTGCACTGTATCTGAAAGTTAGGTATGGAAGACCAACTCTGCTAAGCAATCAGAACACACTTTTCCAGCTCTCTCCCAATTCTGTCCCTTTTTTTTCTTGCTTGGCTTAATCCCAAGCTACCTAGTGGCTTTGTTGAATAGTATGGGCCATAATAAAGGTTTAATTTCTGGACCTGCCTTCACTTCCACCAACTCAGAGCTAACTGGGCAAATATGTTTCATGTGGGAGCTCTTTCTTAACTGCTCACAAACTCAAAGAGGATTTGCTGCCCTTTTTGAGTGAAACTAACAGCAATTATTGAAAGATCAATCTTCAAGGTATTAGCAATTTAGGCAGTAGAGTTTTCACTGACCCATTTCTCTGTCCAGCACTTTTTTATATATCTGAGCTTCTCTCTCTCACCCCAACTCCTGGGTGCTGGAGTTAGGTAGGCACTGGAGATGAAGCTCTGCTCAGTTCATATACGCCTCAGAAAAATTTTCTCCTTTCAAAGAATAAGAGATTCTCTAACCTAGAGGTCCTTAACCTTTGTGTCATAGACCCCTCTGGTGAAGCCTAAGAACCTCTAACTCAGAACGTTTTTAAATTCAGAAAATAAAATATATAAGATTACAAAGGAAACCAATATTTTGAAATAGCTATTGAAATTTCTTTTTTTTTAAAAAACAAGTTTTCAGGTCAGAAACCCCAAGTTAAGAATACTTGATAGTACAATCCCCTTTTCCATTTCTGATTTACCATTGAAGGAACTGAATCCCAATTAAATTTAGTTCAACAATCAACAATCATTTATCAAATATCTGTTATATGTCAGGTACTATGCTAGCCTCTAGAGCTAAGATGAAAATGAAAACAGTCCCTGCACTCAAAGAGCTTTTGGACTATTGGGATACTCCAGAAAAAAACAAATTTCCCAAGTGTCAGAGTTAGGTTTCAAACCCAGAGCTTCTGACACCAGACCCATGTTCTTTCCACCATACAGCATAATATAGTGGCATGAACCTTCCATTTGGAGTCAAAAAGCCTGGGTTATTTAAAACTTGGTTCTGCTCTGTCCCACCTGTGTGACTTTGGGCAACTCATTTAATTTGGACTAGGCAGTCCAAAGATTTGTAGGTAGAACTAGGTAGTTCACGAACTGATACAAAGTGAAATGAGCAGAACCAGAAGGTTGTACACAGTAACAGCAATATTGTATGATGAACAACTGTGAGTGACTTAATTATTCTATGCAAAACAATGATCCAGGACAATGCCAAAGGACTCATGATGAAAAACGCTATCCATCTACAAAGAAAGAATTGATTGTGTCTGAATACAGAGCACAATATGCTATTTTTCACTTTCTTCCTTTTTGGTTTGAGTTTTCTTCCACAAAATGACTAACATGGAAATGTTTTACATGATTGCACATGTATAACCTATATTAGATTGCTTACCATCTCAGAGAGGGGGAGGGGAGGGAATGAGAGAGGAATAGAATTTGAAACTCAATACTTAAAAAAAAAACCCAAATGTTAAAAATTGTTTTTACATGTAATTAGGGAAAAATTTTTTTTAAAAATAAAAAAGATTTCTTCCAACTCTAAGTCTATGATCCTTCATCGTCCAATGTCCTCCTTACTTGTTTTTCTATGGGCTCTAGGAGTCTCTACAGATGGAAGAAAGGAAAGAAATCAGAATTTATTAAGTACCTACTATATGCCAGACACTATGCTGAGCACTTTACAAATATTTGATTCTAAATGGCAATTCTACAAAGGAGGTGCTATTACTATCTCCATTTTATAGTTGAGGAAACTGAGGCAAACAGAGGTGAGATGACTTTCCCAGAGTCACACAACTAGTTAAGTGTCTGAGGCCAAATCTGAACTCAGGTCTGCCTGACTTGAGGCCCAGAGCTCCATCCACTGCACCACCAAACTGCCTTAGCTTTCAAGGACCTGAGTTTTTTCTGGTTTAAGTCATCTGTCTACCTTCTACTAATGGTAAAGTTATCCAGAGTTGCTGTGGAGAAAAAAAAATCCATCATCCTGTGGTCCATTATTTCTGAACTGAGCTGGATCATCTGGGGACACAGAGTCAAGTCAGCAGCATCTGTGTCAAAGGCTGGTGAAATCTAACAGAACCCCAGTTCTGCTAGTATAGCCTTCCCTTTGCGAGCCTAGGGTCACCTCCACAGCAGGAGGCCTTAAGTGGAGATATACACAATCTGTATTTATATAATTTATATATTTTGCCTTTGTACTCTGATCACCTAGGATAGTACAAGGCACATAGTAAATAGCTGCTTAACAAATACTTGTTGAATTTAATATAATATATGGTACATTTTTCTAGAGTTGGGGGGGGGTGGCAGCGTTCCAGACCTATGATTTCATTAAAGGGAACTTTTAGTAAGGCAGTCTACCAAAGGCCCTCAGCCTCAGTTCGGCAACTTCCAGTCTTAAAAAACTGGCTGGGGTAATTAAATGACTGGCCCAGGTGCACACACCTAGTTTGGATCAAAGGCTGAACTTGAACTCAGGCCTGTCTTGATTCTGAAGTCAATCTTACATCCACTAGGCTATCCTTCCTTTCATAAGCCCCCAGGTAGACATTCAGTCAACAAGCATTTATCAAGCACGTCCTACGTGCCAGGCGCTGTGCTGAGCACTGGGGATACAAAGAAAGGCAAAAATACTGTTTCTGCTCTCAAGGAGCTCATTCTAACGAGACAGACAACTTACAAACAACTATATACAAACAAGATGTGGACAGAATAGATTGGTGATAATTTTCAAAGAGAAGATACTCGCATGAAGACACACACTTCTTGAGATACTATTATATATCTGTGCACTGTACTCACCTGCCCCACCCCCCCGAGATACAAAGCTCATAATATCCAGGTTTTGTACAAAACTCAGGACTAATCTTGGGGCCCCGACATAGTCCTAAATAGTCTCCAACACCCCCACCCCACTCCTCGCCCTCTAACTGTCACTCTCTCAGTCTCTCCTTTCCTCCGGGAATGGCCGAGCTATGATAAGCCAACTAAGAAATAAAGATAAGGTCGGGAAAGAGGACCAATAAAACTTCAGATAAAGTTTCCCGGAAGTTCAGCAGCATGGAGGTTTCTCATCTTTCGGGCCGGCCAAAGATCTCTCCTCCGCAGCCGCGCCCCGAGTCTGGGCTGGCAGGTACCTCTTCCTACCCCCCCCCCTTTGTTTTAGTGTCCAGCGTGCGGGTTTCCTGTTGACCCCGGAAAGTTGGGAAAAGGCAGAAAAAGCCAACGCCAACCCCCTCCTCCTCTCTGTCCCTCCCCCAAGACCAGGCTCCTTGTTTCTGGTTTTGTTTCGTCTGTCCCGGCCAGTGGTCCGCTTATCCCGGGCGGGTGGCCTTGGGTCCCCAGCTGGCTAGCGGGGGCAGGCAGGCATCCGCTAGTCCCTCCCCGAGGAGGGCGAGGCCGGGACAGACCCGCCTCATCCCAGGCTCCCAATCTGGAAGGCGGGGAAGAAGGAGGAAGAAGAGGGAAGGGGCTAAGCTAAGGAGTGAGGAGCAAGGAAGGAAAAGGGAGAAAGAGGCTGTCTCTGCGCGGAGGAGGGCGGAGAAAAGTCAGCCGGCTGCCCTTTTCTGGCCGCCTCGAGCTGCCCCCGCCTCCAGCTCTCTCCCCCTCCCCCTTCTACCCCACTGTCCTGGCAGGTGGAGTCTGCCAGAGGAGTTGCGGTTTCTCTTCCGTCTGCTCCGGGGCACTGAATTCCCTCCGGCCCCGGCAGAGTGGTGGCGCGAGGGAACAAGTCAGGGCAGGGCTGGGCAGGCGGGAGAGAACTGCTCGTCCGATGGGGGCTCCCGGCTGGTAGAGTCTCTGGCCCTCTTCTCTACCTTCCTCCTGTTCCCAGTGTGTGCCCCAGCTTAGCCGATGGCTGAAGCCCGACGGCTGGAAGAAGAAGAGGAAGAGCTGCGGGAGCGCAGAGAGCTCGGAGCCTCCAGGAGAGTCCGGGGCCGAGCTCACTCCAGCCACTCTGCGGCAGGTAAGGGACAGGGAGTGGGGTGTGAAGAGAAGAGAGGTAAGGAAGGAGGGTGCGGGAAGGCAGCCCCAGGTCGGGCGGGGACCCTGGTGCTGGTGCGTGCGTGCGAGCGCGCTGTGACGGGGATCCTCAGCCCCTCTGCCTGTTCTGCCTGGCGTGCGCTCTCGGGCACTTGCGGCTGTGCGGCGGGGCTGGGGACTTTTAACTCTGGCCTGGGAGTGGCTGGAGGTGAACGGGGGAGGAGGAAGGGATATTCAGCTCCCCACCCCCTTTTTAAACAACTACAACAAAAATACTTAGTATTTTTTGTATCCGCGTTTAGCAGAAATCAGCCCACCTATTTTCAGAGAGGTCAGCCTTTAATAAGAAGTGATGGTTCTGGAGTTGAAAATCTCCAATCCAGTTTGCCCCCAAGGTAGCCAAGCTATCTTGATTCATCTTCTCCTTCCTCATCATTCTCATTCCCTTGTTTCTTCTTTCCCACCAGATGGTTACTATTTGTTTAACTTAATTTCCCTGACCGGATCTGTAAAAATGCTGTTTATTTCTCCTTGAGTGTATTAGAAGTTTAAAATTGGTTTGCTCCACTAAAAAAAAAAAAATGGGCGACCATACGTAGAAAAAAAAAAGGTCCCAGTGTGGTTCAGTGCAGAACAACACAAAGTTTGGGGTGAGACGACTTGGCTTTCAATCCCTCAGCTCTGTTTACTGTGTGACTGAACCTTGGCCCTGTATTTATAACATCCTGAAAGGCGTAGGTGTAGACATAGATTTAGACCTGGGAAGGGACTTTTGAGATCCTCTAGTTCAGCCTCTTCATTTTGAATTTGAGGAAACCGAGGCGCAAAGGGTAAGTGACTTGTCCAAGGTTGCATATTTGTTTCCTCATGTATAAGTCAAACTCAAATAAAAAGGGATCCCTGCAGGCCATATGTTGACTTAGAAAAACACAAATTAGCATTACCTATATCGTATTTTTATTAAACATTTTTCAATTACATTTGAATCTGGTTGGGGCTGCACTCTGTTGACACCTCTAGCTCTCAATGACCAGAAAGGTCTCTTCCATTTCTAAGAGCTAGGATTCAAACCCTTGTCCTCTTTCTCCAAATCCAGGGCTCTTTTCACATCACCATACTGCTTCCGTTTTCTTCATCTACAAAATGAGGGAATTTTCTCTAAGGATACTTCTCGTTCTGTGTCATATATATTTTATGGACTGGGAATTTTACAAAGGTCAGCTTTCAGGTCATGTATTTGGAGTACTGCATGGATCACATACTTTAGCTTCTAAGTGGATGAGTGAATAAATCTGGATCCCCATCCCTTCCCCCTACCCCTAAGACTTTCCTTAATGATATATAATAGAGAGGAAATTCACCAGCTAGTGAATTTCCCCAGGTAAGCTGAATTTATATAAAAACCAACCACCAACAACAAAATAAAACAGCCAGGGAAAAGTAAGAGAACAAAAGAGGGATAAGGAAGAGGAACCAATTCAATAATACATCAAAGGCTTATATTGTAAGTGAGAAAGCAGAATGCAGTAAACATTCCATGACCCAGGGAGCCAGCTTGGAGTCTTTTCATTCCTGTTGGCTATGCAGAAGAAAAAAAAAAGATTGTGGACCTTTTCTAAGAGCTCTAAAAATTATAATATGAGGGGGGGTAGTAGGAAGAGAAAATGGATGCAGAAAAGTAATATGGCAAATGAAAGGGAAGATCTTGGAATCAGAGGGTGTCCTCCATCCATATAGCAGTATTCTGTTTCCCCTTAGAACTAAAAACTTGTTCAAATAAGACCTTTTTAAGAGTTATGCCTATACAGATCATCACACCCTTTTCCTAACTGCTGTAACTAACTATATTTGATTTGTGAGTAGAAAAGTAAGCAAATGGTTGTTTGTGTGTGTGGGGAGGATATTTCAGGGAACAATAATCTAATAAAAATGCTTAAGTCTTCAAGAATATGTTTCTTATATGCATTATTGATCAAAACCATGGATAATTTAATTTTTATAACCTGCAAACTGCTTTGCTTTCTTGCAAGGAACTATACTCTGAATATCCTTGTTTGGGGTAAGACTAAAAATGATTTTGTGTGTGTGTGTGTGTGTGTGTGTGTAAATACATATACACACATGCATACATGCTCTGTGTCAGTGTGTTTGTTTAACCACGTACTAGCAACATGTGTAACTATTTCAAGGCTTTGGGCAGTATATTTTTTATCTTATTTCTCTCGACTCCTTTAATTTCTGAAGGCTGCTGGATGTTTATCTTGGTTTGGGGAGTTTTTTGTTTGTTTTAAGAGATGTGTTACAATACTTGTCTTTTGTGATTTCAGAAATCTTGCTTCATAAAGCTTTAAAATCTTACTGTGTTAGATGTTATGAAGAGGAGGGGATCGAGATACTGTTGGATAGAAAGACGGATAAACTGGATGTCTTTGATTTTTATCCCTTTTATAATCATTAATTTGATACTTATTCCATCTCTTTAGTCCTCCCAACAAGAGGTCTTTATTCTCCTTTACACTTACTGGCTAATGTGTTGCACAGACATTCTCACATTCCTTACCAAGCTTGGACATTTTTTGGTTATGCCTTAGAGTCCATATTCTCACAAAGAAGCAGTGCGAAGGATGTGGTATGTGCCAAAATCATTTGGAATTTAAATTTTAATCATCTCTTCTCACCATTTCTCTCTCAGTGGCCTCCTCAACTATGTCCCTCTTTTATACCTTCTTTTTTGAGCTACTCCAGTTAAGAATACACAATTTAGCACCGTATATGCTACTCTAATTTCTTTCCAATGAGATTGTAAACTTCTGGAAAGGCGGAGCTCTCTCTAGGCTTTCTTTGTATCTCCTGAACATCCAGAATAGTGCAGTACAAATGGGCAGGGTGGTTACTAAAGGTCCAAGGGTTAATCAGTCCCAATAACTAACAAAGTAGATACCTATCATGGGAATGGATAAACAAGATATGGTCTGTGAATGTAATGGAATCTTACTGTGCTGTAAAACAGCGAATACAGAGAAGCACGGCAAGATTTATATGAATTGATAAAAAGTGAAGTAGGAAGAACCATGAAAACGATATATATACATTCACTACAATGACGTAAATTAAAAGAACAACAGCAACAAAACAATCATAGCTGAGTCCTGGAAAATTATGATGACTAAGCTTGACCCTAAAGAAGAGATATGAGGCACCTTCCTCTCTTTTACAAGGTGGGGGACCATGGGTATGGAGCACTGAATGTGTCAGATTTATTCAATATATGACTTAGTTTTACTGAACTGTTTTCTCCCTCTTTTTTATTCTTTGGGGCTATATTGAGAAATATAGGTAAGGTAAAATGAAAAGATAACAATAAAAATTGTTTTTAAAAAATCCATTATTATCTTGGTGGAAGTGTGTGAAAACCACTGGTGTAATAAGTACAAGTGCTCTGAGTTGTATCTTGTACAACTTAACATCAGTTAAACAATAAATATTAGTTAACTAATATTGATGCTACACATATACATGCATGCATTGATGTTTACTTATTTTTTTAATCCAGTAATTTTAAGAATCCTTTTCTCCTAAATGTGGTTATAAGACCGTAAGTAAGGTTTTTATAATATTAGTGTTTGGCTTGCTTTTAAAAATCTAGATCCAAATGTTGCCTTGACAGCCTCCAGTTTTTCTCTGAAATGTGTTAAAAATCATACATGACAGAACAATAAACATTTAGTAAACACTTATTGAGCTGAATAATTTGCTAGGATTTTGATAAGCTACAAAATGTAGCTAAGGATCGTAGATTGAGATATGGAAAGAACCATTTAGAATCTCTTATTTCCTTCAAAATGAAGCTCAAATATCTTTTTTTTTGTGAAGTCTTTCTTGGTCCTCCCCAGTTGCAAGTGCCTTCCTGAATCCCAAATTACCTTGTATTTATTTTGAATCTACTTATTTATGTACATGTTATTTCTCCCAATAGAATGTAAGCTTCTGGAGGGCAGGGACTATTTCCTTTATATCTTTGTATCCTTAGTACTTAGTGAGGTGCCTAGGTACTGAGAAGACACTTAGTAATTGGTGATTGATTTGGTCCAACTCCATTTTACAGATGAAGAAGCTGAGGCTCAGGGAGGGTAAGTGAGGTGTCACACTGGCAGGAAGTGGTAAAGCTTAGATATGGACCTGGGTCCCCTGATTCTAGGTTAGTTGTTTTTGTTTACTGCTCTAGGCTGGATACTGTCCAGAGCAGAGATGTCAGACAGCTGCCTGAACCACAATAAAATGTAATTGAGAAATATTTAACAAAATAAATAAAAAGACAGTAGAAAAGATGGTGTTAATATGTGGTTTTCTAAATCAATGTGAAGCCCACCAGGATCCTTATGTGTGGTTTAGTCATTCTGGTTCTATTTGAGTTTGATATCAATGGTTTAGAGCCTACACTGTAACACAATTAAAAACAAAAACAAATTTGCAAACCCCAGGTTAAGAATAGAGGAATAAGACAATAATTAGAAGATTTTTCTTTTTGTCTGAAACTGTAAGTTCATCTGTGTTGGGAATTCCAGACATAGAGGTTCTCTTCACCACTGTAGATAAAACTTTTCTAAAATGTATAGTCTGAGTTGTTTTTGGACACTGAAAGAGTTAAATGATTTGTTCAAGGTCTCACAGCTAGACTGTGTCAGAAGCAGTACTGGAGGGGCTGGTAGGTGTCACAGTGGATAGAACTCTGGCCTTGGAGTCAGGAGGACCTGATTTCAAATCCAAACTCAGACACTTGACACTAGCTGTGTGACCCTGGGCAAGTCACTTAATCCCAATTGCCTCACCAAAAAGCAAAAAAAGAAGCAATACTGGAACCCAGGTCTTTCTGACTCTATGTATCATACAATGTCCTACCTCTCCACCTGTAATTCTTCTGCATTTTGCATGTGTGCGTGCTCACATGTGTACGTGCAGTGCGTGCATTTAGTTGTATCCAGT